GGCCCCACCGCTTTCAACCGCTTCCCACTGCTCCCCTATCCCCGTTTTACCTTTCAAAAGGCGATTGAACAGCGGCACGAAAAAAAAATCCCGCATTTCCATATACCCTTTTTATTTACTTTTCTTGTCTTTATTCTTGTTCCGCCACAGGCTATATACCTCAACAAAGGATAGCCCCCTTGTCTTTATACCGAGTGCTCATTATGGCAGGGTCAGGTCGGGTTAGGTCGATTTATGTAATGGCGGCTTTTGTGCATACTACGATTTGACCACTGCCTTGCTCCATCAGATTTGACCAGGATGTGAAAGTAGAGAAAACTGACCTCTGGTGACCATGTAACTAGGTGACAAGGTTAGATCCCTTTCCGTGGGGTGTTTTTGTACATAAAACTTTACGTTCACAACACAATCAGTTCCATCAATAATGGCTTCAAGTGTCGACAGCAGCATAATGCGGTTGCTGTGTTAAGAGGTTCTCGAGTCCCACAGATATAGGAAATTACGAAAGCTTTCAATCAACCTCTCCAAATCAACACCATTCATTATCGCATTCAGCATGCAGATAAAAGGTCTAACCCTAACCTTATGACTCGTGGCTGCAAGCTGTGTCACTGGCTATTACTCATTCGATGAATTCGATGCGTACGACTCGCGGCCTTGTAAAACTTTTTCTTAAGGTCACCATCAAATTCTGTCGAATCATGCCAATTTTTTATTAAAGCTTTTGCCCCTCCGTGAAGGATAAATCTGGCTGACCTTGACTGAATCAAACGAATCAAATTGGCGTATGCACTAGCCTAGATTTTTTTTTCAAGTGAACTTCTATTTACAACCGTGTTGCCATTAGTTCAAACAATGTTAAAATAATTTTTCAGGTGGGCAAAGACGTAGATTTCCCCGTCTACGAAACTCTGACAGCCGGGGGCCTCTTCCTGATTGCTGCGGTAGAGCAGGTTGCACATCACTTTCTCCATAACAAAGTCGACAACTACGACGGGCGCGGGGACGTGGAGGTGGTACCTGGCAACAACACGAACCAGGGCCAGGAAACGAACGGGTTCGCCCGTGATACTCATGGGAAGCCTGTTATCCACTATAACGCCACTGATGGTACGGTCAGCGCTGCAACAGAGTCGAACGGAGGAGGTGACTTAGTACATCTAGTGCTGTGATGCTTTGACAGTTGAAGGGGTCAAGTGATATCATATTCATTTTCAGGAAAAAAAAAATCAGAGTACTAGCCCTTATGCCCAGTGCCCATTGGCACGATCGGTTCGGTTTGGTAGGCGGGGCTACCCAGGTTGAGGGCGCAAAGCGACCATCGTGGCATAAACCGATCGCCCGACTCGTTGCCTCAAATTTTCAGGCCGCCAGTCGGGCGATCGGCTGTCGATCGGTTTGTTATAGAGAACCGATCCCCCGTTGGGCACTGAGTATTAACGTAGGCCTACAACAGTTGACCTACCTGTAGAATATCCCTATGAATCAATCAAAAGTAAAAAAAAAAAAAATTTAATTATTCACTAACTGCATTTTTGTTACAGGTAAATCAAGGTAAGATCAAGCCAAAAACCGTTATAAAATTTTAAAAAACAGAGTTAATTGTTAACGAATAATGTGAATTGGCCTGTTTTTCACGAGACCCCTTCAATCTGTCTGATGAGAAAAAAATGGAGATGATCGACATGAGCCTTGCTCGAGCATCGATAATCACATTTTACATCCAAAATGAATTGCGTGGCATCGTGAGAAATCAGGCGATTTTTTTTTGGGCTCAAAACACAAAATTATTTTGATTTTTACTTAAAACCGTTGATCAAAGTCACAGTGTAAAAACTGCAGTTTCCAAGGACACTCAAGTTTTGGGTAATCACCAAACTTTGGCGACCATTTTCTCGCTAGTTTTTACCATTAATATCAGACGAACCCACCTCTTTCAAGCGAAAATATCTCGACTTTTATTTAAGAGAGATAGGGTTTTTTAACAGCAGAAACGAGACAAATGAGCAAGCTTAAAGATGATATCAGAACCTCCAGCCATATGTCCCAAAATTTACGAGCGCCTGATTTCACCGTGTCATTACACAATTGCTATAGCATCACGCCACGAGTTGTATGTCCATCTGCATTGAAAACCAAACAAGACCAAACCAAACAATCAAAGAAAGTAACAAACTACAAAAGGGTTACAATGACAATAAGCCTTGTTTCACCAAGAGTAAGGGCCCTTGTTTATCGAATAATATTTTGTATGCCCTACTTTTTTTTTTTTAATATAGATATAGATGTTTTTACTCCGCCATCGAAACAATTTAGATCATGTATGTCCTAGTAATGTATGACTCATCTCAGTACCAAAAAAAAACACGTCCGTCGTAATCAGCGTGAAATCTAGAAGTGTGTTAAAATGTGTCCCGAGTTTCGTTATTCATAGTAAAAAGTCTTCTCGGAGTTGATAGGTTGACCTCCTAGCGTAAGTGTAAGAAAACATTGGTGATAACACAGATGTCATTTCAAAAACGTGTGATTTGCAGTGCAGAATTTATGCTGAGACTTCTTTTGTTTTTTCCTCCCACTATCCGGTAGTACAATGTTTTTCGTTTGG